CGAATCTCTTCATCATGTACTTTCATTCGAAACGAAGGTCCCCCTAATAAAGGATATGACTTTCAAATTTGACAACTTGAGATGCGCATCTTCTTAAGAGTCATTTGTGTATTATGGCTATACATTCTTTATAGTGAACCTCAACTTTGATTGACGTATAAGAAATGCAATTGGAAGCAAGTGGCTGGCTATTAATAGATGGGATACAAACAAGTAGACCACTTCTGTAGTACATAATTAGTAATGAAAATATCGGTGCTTAAAGCACAAAGGGTCAATAGCCAATGGAGTTTCACCACTTCATAAAAAAATGTTTTACCGATCGCGTGGCACAATCATATGCCTAATTAACTAGCATGCAACTTTTACAATGTACGATTCAACCTGCGTCAACATCTCATCCAAAGATACCATATTGTATCAACAAACGTGGACACAGATGAGTAAACAAATCATTTGTAATGTGCTTAGAGCACGATTGCGAAAACTGAGGGGAGTGACTACAACAGTTGCCGTTGTGATAACATACCATTCAAACTCACACTCGGCTCGGTGAGCGCTCACAATCATCATCAACAGCAGCAGCAACAGCAGCAGCAGCAGCGTGAGCCTAGACTAGTGTGGCTAATTAATCTCTGGACGCCATTAGGGTCATTTTTGTCCACGTCATAGTATTTCTAGCCAAGTTACCCTTGAATCCGCACACCCGAGGTTCGAAATTATAGTACATTCGTAATAAAAGTGCAAATATTACATTAAAACTGCTCTAATAAACAGAGTATTTTGATAACATCGCAGAAAGCCTGAATATTGATGGATGAAACTGCTGGACAACAAATTACAAGTCTGACCAGGCTACTAAATGCAAGGTTTCCACAGTAAATTATAACCAAAACAAAAGAACAATTTATAGGGAGTACACATCAGGAGTTCGTAAAGTTGTCGAAATATAAGGCATATCTTCAGCATCAGTATAAGTGTGTAAAGTTACAAAAATGGAAATAAAGACATATACCGAAGCAGCCTAATCTGCTGGAATAGATACATATTCATGATAGGCAACTTTGGTAGGATTGAGAGTTGACAGGCAACTTTTGATCTGAAGTCACCAGACACCGTTGTCATCAAGGGACCAGATCATCTTCAGGGCATAGTGGTAACTAACTTCAAAAGACATACTCAACCAATGCGAAGAGATTGAAGATATGATACAATTAAGGTAAAAAAGCGGGCATCTGTTCAATCATCCGACCTGTCACTCGGCCTTCTTTGACGTCTTTCAATGCATGCATTTGAGATTATAAAAGTATTGCTGTAATTCGAATGAAAAATATTGGTATTTGCATCTTGTCCTGGTGTTTCTGAAAGGTTGAAAGGTTGGGTGTCTAACAAGAGACAAAAGGGTACAAACTAGTCAAGGCACCCAATCGAAGTCATTTATGAATGGAGATCATGCAATAGCTTTACTGTAGGTAGCACACCGTTTCAGAACCGAATAGTTAATTTATTGACAAGAAATAAAATAAATGCTCGGCTAGCTGATGAATTCCAGAGAAGGTTGCGCTTCAGGTTCAACATTTCATACAAAATGGGGAGCTTCAGCTATATAACTATTAAGTGGGCTAATAAAAGTATAAAGACTGAGTTGCATGATCAGTTGAAGATACGAAAAAAGATTATGCATTCACGGGGATACCCTGCGAAGTAGAGCTTCGTATGTCGATCAATCGCCGACTTCTTCGTAAAGAATCAAGCCAAAATGCGCTTATTTGTGACTAAAAAATGCACTGAAGGATCAAGCTTGATTATTTTACAACTACTCACGACAAAATATGCATAGAAGCAATCTAGCGTTTGTAGCAAATCATCCAAAACCTTTCGCATTATACCAATTAGCCTAATTGCACGACACCACAAGTACCCCTAAAGACTTGCAACTTTGCACAAAGACGTACCTGAGCCTACCATTAGACCTAACATACTCTGACCTTTTACATCAAATCAGATCAATCGCTAGAGACCAATTAGAAGCCGATATTTACTTCTCACAGCATGGTAGACATGAAGATCTTCTCGCTATATGGATCAATTCAAAAGAACCTTTTTCCTTGTGGCGACGACGTTTGCTCGTATGCAAATCTCTTACGCGCCATGTTCGCTTCTACATCAACGTCTTACCTCAACAAACCGCCTACCGAAGGTCCCAAAGATCGGCGATACGACAACCAGAATTCACCCATTATCGTCGTATTATCAACCGATACAGCCCCAAATCAGCTTTGATTCTGGTTGGTCCTCGAGCGCCACCTCTTCCCGTTTCGCATAAGCATCTGCATCAAAGCAAGATCGGTTGAATTTCCATAAAAGGACTGTACTCAACAAGCGTTGGCGTACAAAATAAAGTCTTCCAGAGATCGTATCGTCAGGTACGCGTCTACGGAACCTAATGTATTCCACAATACAAATGGACCTTGCCCACGCCGCATCTCCAAGTTGCGCCTCCACACAGCAAGCGTCTCTTCTACATGGCTACACATTTTAAGCACGCAGTATCAGTTTTCCTATTTGCGCCACTCAACATCATGTAATGTCAATTTCATGGAGAGGTTTCAATAGTAAATTAGTTATCGAAAACTAGAGTTTATCTAGTAATTAATTATTTCATCGATAAGCAGCATGCTAAACTTCTGGATAACATGCAGAAGTAAGAAGCGACTTAGGAAGATCGAAGTGGTGACATATAGTGTTGAGACGAAACTTCAAAAACAAAATTCTTTCTCAAATTTCCCCG